TTGGTGGGGTTAGGGGGGGTTCATTGTAAATGCGTGTGGTGGTCGACCTTAATTGCGCCTCCCTGACATGTTTTCTTGGGAGATGAAATGGAAAACAAGCCCCCGAAGGACCCCTGATTTGTTACGAGTGCTGACTTTTAAATGTCATCGTTCTCTGTCTGCTCTTCAGTGCCTCGCGGTTCGGGTGGGAAGGCGATGGGGTCTGGGCTCAGTGTCAGTGACCCGAGAATGAGCTTTTTAACAGCGAGATTTCTTAGCTTGCTGTCTCACTATTTGCCACTTGCAAACCCACAATCAGGAGGCCAAAGCCCCCACCCTCGGAGTGGTTTTTAAAAGCTCTGCGGGGGTGCGACATTTTCCAAATGACCATTTTTCTGTCTGACCTTTCTGTTGACCTTTTTGGCGAGTAATTGCAATTTTTGAAATATTCATTTGTGAGTTATGTCATTTGCAAGCATCGTGATTAAAAACACTGCTCGCATGAAGGCGGTGGAAGTATCCAGCCCTTTACACTTTGCTTACCCCAAATCACTTCTTTCATATATATATATATATATGTATATATATGTATATGTGTGTGTGTGTTCAGCAGAGCTCTTGTCAAAGGAATTATCCAGGGAGAATCTGCAGTGGAGAAAAGAGATCCACACTGCATATAAATACACCTCTATTAGTTGAAGAGAGGGAAAGCGAGATGAAGTGAATAGAACACGGGAGCTTAGGGTAGAGGATGGACTTTCAATAAGACTATTTCGATTTTCAATAGATCTGACAATGATGTCTGTAGGTAGACGGGGATGCGTGCAAGCAGGGCAAGATGACGGCTCTGGCACCTGAGGAATATGAGCCCTATCAATCACCGCCTCCGGGCACAAATGTAATTACACTACAGTTGTTGACTAGCTGGGTAATCTGAGACATCACTGGCCTGCTTTTACTCGCCTGCATTAGGGGATTGCTGGTGCCCATTTACGGCATCGTGTTCGCCGCTCTCTGATGTTTTTTTAATGTTTCTTTCGGGGGGGATGCTGGCATCAACTGAGCCCTTGGCTTAGCGCTGCGATGAGGTTTGAGAGAATGACTCTAAGATTTCATAGCAAATCAATGACATCGTATTTATCGAGATTAATGCAGACTATTCAATAGGGCCTCTTTTTTTTTTAACTGAGGCAGCTCTCAAAGTAAGCATGCACACTTAAAAGCAGGAGGATAAATAAACAATTAATTCTTTTCAATCAAAGTCAATTACACTTTCGACATTTAGCTAAGTGCACCTGCCGTATTCATGCCGTGTTATCCCCCTTGCTCTGCTGTTGTCACTTTCAAAGAAGTTTGGTGTGATCCACAGCGGTGCTTTTCAGGGGGTGGAATAAATATTCCCATTAAGAGGGAGATAATTGATGGCTTTCATCGCCACTGAATATAACAATTCCAATCTGTGATATTTCAATGGCAAGAGTGCTTTACTGTGTTGGGGCTTGAATGATTTATGAGACAAAATGAAATGACACAATAATGAGGGACTTTGTTGTTTCATCTCGCCGTGTGTCTTTGTGTTTTCTCTGTTTAGCTCCAGGGAAAGATAAAAAGTGGTACTTGGATGACTTTTTAAACTGCTAATGGTAGAGATTGTGTCCTCTTACATAAATACGGCATAATGATCTATTATGGGACATACACAGTAGTGTGCAAAAGTCTCAAGCCAACCCTCGTTTCTTTATATTCCACTGGGAAAATGGGAAATAGGTGCAGCAATTTATTGGAAAGAACAGAGTTTGGACAGTTCTAACAAGCTTGAAAGTTGATATTTGGGTTGACCAGCTTTAGTCTTTAAGACAGCCTGAACTCTCTTAGGCAAGATATCTTGTAAGTTCTTCAAGAAGTCTTCGGGAATAGTTCTCTGTGCTTCTTTAAGGACATTCAAAGCTCTTCTTTGGATGTTGGTTGCCTTTTTGTTCGGTTCTCTATCAAGACGATCGCAGGCTGCTTAAATAACATTGAGGTCTGGGGAGGCTCGTCTGTGACTGATAGCATTCATTGTGTGTTTTTCTACCGAGGCATGCTTTTACTGCATTGGCAGTGTGGTTGTGATCATCCTCATGCTGGAAAATACAGCCTATCAGATGCTTTCCAGATGGGATTACATGTTGGATTAAAATGTGACTGTACCACTGTATATGTTGATGATGACTCGAACCAAAAATAATAAATATCTGTCGCCACCGATTTTCAGATGCAGCTCTCAGGTCCTCTGTCAGGTCTTTTCTGGGTTTTTTTCCTATTGCTTAAGGACATTTCCAGTCCAGTTTCTTCGATTTTTTTTTTAAGGACACTGCAATCCATGCTTAGATATTCCAAGTTTTCAGTTAATAACTCTTTAAAAATCACCTTGTTGGTTCAAAAGTGCAATTTTATTCCTGTGAAACTGTGTTATCTTTGGCATTTTTCACAGACTCAACTGAATAAATTAGAACAAATGTGTTTTTGCAACAAGCTGATAGCAACAAAGTGCCTAAAGATACAATTTAAAATTCTTTGCTAAATTGTCGGTTGTGTGTAGACACAACACTGGTTCCTGGCTTGAGTTAGATGTGTTTTTATGCTTGAGTGATTCATAGGTCAAGATCTGGGGTGATAATGAATGAAAAAGAACTTTGAAAGAACTTCAGAAAACCTGGGGAACTATTGCTTAAGACTACTTTTAAATAAATCTGGCTCTGTGGAAGCAAATTAAAGAAATGAGGGGTGGCCCAAGACTTTTGCACGGTACTGTATCTGCACAATATGGATTCCATGAAAGTTCACTGTGAAAATACTGCACAGTAATACAATTATATCCACAAAAATCTGGCAGGGTTCTGTATTAAGCTGTTTGATTTAGGTGATAAAGAAAGGCATTTACTCAAAGTTATTCCACTGGCTAAAAAACACCCACCACTACATTACTTTTAAAAATGTCTTTTATTGTTAAAGTGTTCAGTGTTCATTTCATATATTTGCATTCGATGGCACGATACCATAGGGAAGACGTGAGAACAAAGAGTTCTGCAACAGATGGTATGGCCCCCACAGAGCCTTGATCTCAACATCAACCAGTCCGTCTGAGATTACATGAAGTGTCAGCTCGACATTGTTGCGCCTAGCTGTTTTAAGATATGTAATTAAACATGATAAGCCGGTCTGACTTCAATAAAGCGGCAGTACTGGGAAGAGCTGGTAAAGAAAGAAACGAGCCGTGCGCGGCGGCACAGCGCTGGACAAACTTGAATGTAACTTCCGTCATCACAATCAAACAATGAGATGGCTGCAAGGGTGATGAAAAACGAGAGAGCGGTGGATAAAAATTGTACACTTCACACATCTCAGACGCAGCTGTTTATTACTTAAGCATTTGCCGCTTCACACCCAAGGTGATGGATGCCATAAATATATATTTAAAACTGAATGTGTGACAAAAGGTTCAGTTATCTTGGTTTGTATGCTATCACCTATTCCACGATTTTCATTAGCAAATAACACTGGTTTGTGCTTTACAGACAGGTACGCTCTGTGATCGTGGATTTAAATAACTGTGACTGATGCGGATCGTTTCATTAATTGTCTTTTTTCAGGAGTTTTCAATTGCGTGACCTTAAAAGTAAGAATTTTTCCCATTTGAGCTTTTTAAATGGAGACTTCTTGTATCTGCAGCAGTTGCACTCGACTTGCTGATGGAGTATTTATGATATGATTGAAGGCTGCAGAGGAATGATTAAAAGCACCTTCTGGTGAGATTATTGTCGCTGTTGTTGTTTCCAAGGTCAAAATGAGCTCGTGGTAAATGGAATGCACTCGCATAGCGCTCTTCTCCATTCACATTCATACATGGCTCTTTACTGTATACATACTGTCACAAACACACACGAGTGACACATTGGGGCCACGTTTGGAGTTTTAGAGATGCATGTGGTATCGCCCACTCTCATTTTCACATGTGGATTCGCTCCGTGTGCCTCTTTTTCGCCATCTGTCCTCCCTGATGAATGTCTGTGTTCCATGTCATCCAGCGTTGGCTTTTTCAGTTCAGACACTCGTCTGAAAGGATGTTTATAGAAATCCGTAACTGCCACAGTCCTCCTGCAGTCACTCAGGCCAATGTTTATGCTTCTCGCTCATTTTTTATTCTCGCTGTAAACACAGAACTTCTCCAGACTGCTCTGCACATGCTGTGTTCGTGCACGACTGTGAGTCTCCGCAGATGTGCGTGCGTGCTCGCGCCCGTGTCAGAGGAAAGGGAAAAAATGGCAACCTTTGGACGGCCGCCTCTCAGCCTCATTGGGGTCTCCCGGCCATTTTGGCTCTGCAGTAAACAGCGGATTTTTGCCAATTTGACTTCCATTTTTGGCTTGAGGCACAGGGCACCTTTTGACCTCCTGCCTCTCGCCTTTGTGTTGTCTAACTGAAAGGCATTGTTTCACCTTAAAAAACAAAGAATCTGGCACTTCTTATGATTTATAGATTTTAGTCTAGAGGGAAATTTCAACAATTTACTTGGGCCACACTCTACTGTGGATCCTTTGCCTTTGTGTTTCTGCCTGTCTCTAATTTCTCAGTTGAGTGCCCATGTAATGAATGTTTATTTTCTCACAGCCAAAAGCAAACACCGTGTCCATTTCCTTATGTTTGATCTGTGTAGTATCTCCTACTCTCTCTTTCGACAGCTCCTGGCCTCTCCGGGGCCCCTGTGTTAGCGCTCATCCTCCCACTCCAAACAAGCAGCGTCCTAACCACCCACACTCTCTAGAAAAGGGTGGCTAACCTCTTCACCTATGCCTCTGTGTCAGACCTTTTGATTGTATTTTCCTGCAGTAGTATACACTTTTTAAAAAATGCAGGTCTGAGCTAACCACAACTGCAGGATGAAGCTGCTTTAACACTTATTTGTAGAAATATTTTCACCGGTAAGAAGAAAACGGAAATTCTCACACACTGATTTATTTATTTATTTTGTATTCTTTCAGCCTTCAGTCGAGCACCCATCCCCATGGCGGTGGTGAGGAGGGAGCTGTCATGCGAGAGCTACCCCATTGAGCTACGGTGCCCGGGCACTGACGTCATCCTGATCGAGAGCGCCAACTACGGCCGCACTGATGATAAGATCTGCGACGCAGACCCAGCACAGATGGAGAACACACGGTGTTACCTTCCAGATGCATACAAGATCATGTCTCAAAGGTACGGACATAAATTTGTCTGAATTGTAGTAAATATTCTTAATCAGCTATATAACTAATATTTAAGAGTTCAAGCTGAATTAAAGCAATCAGCTTTGCTAAGAAACTTAATTTCACACTGAGGACTTAACCAGGTTAAAAAGTGATGAAGTAAAAAAAACTGAGTACTTCCCCGTAGACACCTGTGTTAAAGGTTCCTGCTGTACAAACGAACATGTTTACAGTTTAGGATGAAAATGGTTGTAGCTAATTTTCCCTTTCATAGGTGCATTTTATTTTCTATGAGGCTTAAAATGTACATGATTAAGGGCTGACAGGTAAATGCAAACACAGGTGGCTATAGATGGTTCTGCCTGTTAGTTTTTAGGTCAGGAGAGCCAAGTAACTGGACTACATTTCTTCATGGGTGTGGGTTCTGTTTGGAGAACCAACCATTTTAAATGCTGTTATGTGACAAATAAAGTGGGAAGTCTAAAAAGTCACATTTGCTGAGTGAAAATCTAGCATCTTATTTGTATGTTTCTTAACACTAATTAGATCCTATTAGTGTCTATGTAATTAATCTATAGAGTGTATGGATGCAGCTTGCTAGCCAAGCTAACTGTTAGTGTTAGCTAAGTGGTAGTGTTAGCTTAGCTAGCAGGCTAACTCTACTTAGCTTTTTTTCGTTTAAAAGTGGTCACATCTGTCCACAGAAACTTTTATAGCAATGGTCATAAATCTAACGCTGAGTATTCATAATGCTAGAAGACAAAATCATAGAAAATTTGGAGGCTACATCTATATTTTATATACAGTCTATGGAAGCTACAGCTCCCATGTAGCTACAGCTACATGGGAGCTGATATAAATAACCTAAAACCGCTTTCCCACTGGAAGCTTATTAGCCTACTTTGCTAGCTTTCACTTCATTGTGGGTTACAAACTTAACTGTGCAGTGTGTTCTCCAAAGTCTACTAAAAAGGAAGTAGTCAAAATCGTACATACTTAGCTTTACAACGAAATTACAAGATCCAAAAAACCCTCCTACACCGTTTCCAAGAATTGTGGTGGAAAAGGGTCATAATGACGATTGAAAAATATGCATAATAGATGCAGTATAGTTATGTTTTTTTCTATCCTTGGATGAAAAAGAGAATTTAAAACACATTCCCAGTCTATTTTCTTTCTTTTATGCAGCATCGCTAAAAGAAATCCAGGGCCACGATGCAAGGTCTTTTTATATGCACTCATTTTAAAGGTGCATTGTTGACCACAGCAGATGATGATAATAATAATAATGATAGGTTGTTTGGGCTCCCATTCAGAAGACTAGCTTGAGACTATTTGCATGCATGAATATGTACGTGTTCACACACAGGCATGCTCAGAGGAAACAAATTGCTTTTTGCTGTTAAATAATTGCCATATCTTGAAAACATAATCAACCAGTCTTGTGTTAATGAGAAATACTTTAATTCACACCTGAGGATTGCTGATATTTAATAAAAAATAAAAAATGTCTTCTTTTTGAAACATGTTTTCTTAAAAGAGTAGCTTTTTAAATATATTTTACTTACTCCCAAGAATATGTACACACTTTATTTCAATACTATTTGGGTCTGGTGTGGAACCAGCCCTTGAGATTTGTTAAAAGTAGAAACAAAGCTCCAAGTTAACAAAGCCACAAAATAAATGCAGAGCAGATTATTAGGGTAGTGTATAGTGCATGCACTTTTCTCTGTTGTGGATTAATTTGACTGAGAAAACCAGTGAGCCACAAGCAGCATTAACCACAAACCTCACCATACCTGGCTGCTAATCTGTGCCAGCCATAAATTTAAACTGACACAAATCAATGATCATTACAAATAATATGAACAGGTTATTTGTTAAAGCAGAAGAAACATGTGTGATGAGTTTCACTGCCAGAAGTGAGCTTTGTTTTCAGAGTTATGAGCCTGTTGTGCAGAAACCGGGACATGGAGGCCTATTTGTCAGGCCAGAGAGCGAGGATGCTCTTACTGTACTTCGGCTTTTTGCGTGTAATAGATTGCTAACATTAAGGCAATATATAAACAAGTTTTCAGTGTTTGAAGCAAGTTGTATGAAAGCAGTGAACGGGGAGCTTAGGGAGAGTGCGGAGTGAATATACATATAGTCAGTCTTTGGTGTGTTGTTGACTTACTGCAGCACTTAAGAGCAGAATAAAAACTCCTATGTGCTATCATTCTAAGCATGGTTTCCCTTGCCTTTGAGGTCAAAACACCCTTGAGCACTCAGAAGCGATGGACTTTATCTAAATTGCTGCTCTGCATTGACTTTGTCTGCCTCATTTTATTTCCAAAGCTGAATGTATGTTCACCTCTACTTATTTCCAGAGCTTTAGTTCCAGATTGGTCACGGCCCCTTGAGAATACTAATGGACTTTTGGGCTTTATCAAACTATTGCTCTTTGCTTTTTAGTTTGGTAACACAGAGTTCAGATAATCAGCGGTGTGAAAAGCAGCCGATGCTAAAACGAGGTAGTTTGAAACATGTTGTCAGATAATTGATGCACCCTGTAGCTCCTTTGTTCTCCGAGCCGCCCACTCAGACGAAAATCCCTGCAGGAATGAATCAACGGGTCCTGCAACTGTCAAGAACACAAAACTAGCATAAAGTAGCAGGGACAAGTGTGTCTTTTTAGCATCTCATTTCTACCGGGGGTGTCTCAATGATGCTTAAAGGGAACTACAACCTGATTCAGAGCCAGGGCACTTTGTCTTGGGAGAGGAAGCTGCTGAGTGGATGAAAAGTGTGGGTAGCATGAATTGGAACTGGGAGGGAGGGTGGCAAAGAAGGGACGTGGTCGTGGCTTTAGTGACACAGCTAAGCATTAGCATGCGGGGGTTAGCACAACAAATGAGCGGCCACCTCCGACTATTTCATTGTCGAGCTGTCACAGGCGTTGCTAGGCACCTGCGGCTAAGCTCATTGGGGTTAAAAAGGAAAATGAGCCTGAAACAGAAACAAGCAGTTAGAACAGACAAAGATAAGGCCAAAGCCAGGACAGGGAGATTATGGAGATTCATGTCTTTTTATTTTTTAGTTGACTAACTAAAAGACGTTCCTTCTTCACCTCATACTTTCCTGTCTCTGTCCATAGCCTAATCACTGGAAACAATCCAAACAAGGTAATAGTCTGATTAGAGCATTTACATGGTTTCCAGTAACCTGATTTCCCCCTGATTGTGGCTTTCATGAGGTATTTGATTACCGAGCTAATTTGTTAGGCTACAAAAACACACATAATACAGAACTTGGCTGGATTAAAAATATATTCTGTTTAAAGAACCACGAATGAAACATTTGTGTTGAACGGCACTTCTTTTAACGTAATAACTGACTAGTAGTGCTGAAAATGTTTTACTCTAATCGTAGTGTAAGTCTGTTCGCCAACTTCTCCTAGATAAATTAATCAATCTGAATAAAATTTACAACATACACATCTGTATAACTTTTGGGAATAATTTTTAAAACACTCAAGTCCTTAAATTATATATATTGTGTTTGGTAGCTGATCTCAAACAGCTACATAACGTATACGTTACGGATACGCTTATACGGATATGCTTATACGGATATTTCGTGTACGTTACACGTACGTTGTTGTTTCTGGATTCATTTTTATAAAAGATTAAATATGTCATGCATGTCTTTTAAATATATGTTTGGCAAACAATGACACTAATAGTGCCTGTGGCTGGTTATTGGCTTATTGTCTTATACCATGAATATGTAGCTTGCAAAGAAAAAGAAGACAAAATATAGGCATCAAAAAGAATAACATAATAAAATAACATACAGGTCTGTGTTATAATACACGAGCGAAGCAAACATATGCAACAGGCCTGTCAAAAACAGCCGTACAGTCAGTAAATTAGGTTATTGGTTAAACTCCAACAGATAAACTAACGAATATCTGACTTCCTGCGTAACCTTTCTGCTAATTATTCAAAACCCCACAGATACGTTCTCATTCTGAAGTATGGCAGACACTGTTTAGACTTCAGCCAGAGTGATGCAATCTATAAGGCATCTTGCAAATATGGACAGTATTTAATATAAATGGTATTCCCTAAAGCTGCAGTTGTGGTCCACAAGAACAGCGGGGATCAACACTCACAGCTTGGTGCTGACAAGACCAACTGTGAAGCTTACTCTTACTCACTTAGAGCTGACTTGAGTTTGTTCTGTGTAGAAATGACCACCATCTGTCAGTAAATCAAAGTCTTTGTTCCATTTTTAGAGTATATAACACTTCCTCAAATGCTTTGAGCAAATGGTGAAAGGAGACATATTGGCTTTTTCTTTTATTATCATGTATATACTGTTCAAGTCCTGGATGCTCATAGGAAACATGGCCAAAGTTGCAAATAATAAGACCAATGTCAGGAACCTGTGAAGCAAAAACTTCTCTAAATGATCTGTCTTAGATAGTTTTCCCTACTTTTGCAACTAAAATGTCAAAGGGAGGCAATACCCATGAAATTGTCATCACAAACACAGCATTCCCTCCTATTTGTTTTTCAAACCTTCTGTTTAAAAAATTGGAATGGGCTTTAAAAGGTGAAAGAGTAGTAGAGTCCAAGAATAAAAATATGGACCTAGAAACGAGCACAGGGACACTTCCTAAAAAAAATAAATCACTGTACAGCACTGTGCAAAAGTCTAAATTCTTTATGCTTTGCTTCCGAGACTTGAGCAATAGTTCTGCAGGCCTTTCAAAGTTTCCCTTTGAACATTAGCTCATTTCAGTGCAGTCCTTTTAACTGCAGTGGTCTCAGAGGAACGGTGGCTGTCAAGAAGCTTAAGGAAGGGAAGGAAGGGAAACGGTGGGGGGGAAAAAGCTGAGGTATGCCAAATTACTGAAAATCAATGACAACAGGTCTTATGGACTGCAGAATTCATTGGACATTTTTTGGAAAGTTTTGCATTTTGGAATCATGTCAAAATTAGAATTGAGTTATGAACGCAGAA